TAGTAGCAGTTTTGTTCATGTTTGACAGTCGGTAGAGGTCACAAACCAGCATTAGGTCTGATTGTACGTGTCTATGTAAAAGAGATAATTGATGGTTAAGAAAAATGTATTTCGATGTGGTTTCTCAGTTGCCGAGAGGACAAGCTGAGTTAACTTTGTTGAATATTTTTCTTGATGAACCAAAAGATGTGATTTCTTTCTGAAAAACTCCTGCAGATTTGTCTTGTTTTTTGCAGAAACAGTAATCTTTGATAGAGCTACTGGCAGCAAGTTTAAGCTTCACAAATAATAATATTTCTAGTTGATTAAACAAAAAAAAACATTGGGTGTCATACAGCATTATTTTCTTAACTGTTACTCAAAAATAAGAATTAGTTTTGCTTAATTCATAAAGACAACCTGAACGTATAGAGTAAAGAAGGTACAGGCAGACTTGAATACTTTTTTTAACTGTCATCGTAGGTATGATTTATGTCTATTTTAATTTTTTCTAATCTACAACTGTACGCACTTTTAGTTCGCATTGTTTGGAATTCTCTTCAAATTATGAAATTCTTCTATTTTATTCTATTAATATAAATTTAGGTTTTTAAAAAATGGATTTAAAGAGCGAAAGAACTAAAAAGCTCTATAAAATTTTCAGTGCTGATTATCGTGATAGCTTAATAAGACTCTATTCGTCGTTTGAAGACAAATTTCTTTAAAAGTAAGCATACATGTATATTGACAGTGGGGATGGTAGAAAAAAAGGCTTCATATCTTTAGCGAGATTACGCAGATCTTTGCAGAAATTAGAGAACCAAATAATCAGAATGTTTTTAAGAAATTTAATAGCCAGAAAGAGGGGGTTCCAATGCATAAAAGGGCAAAAAAATGCGAATGCCGCAATCAGAGCGTTTATCTTGCAAGTTTACTCAACATTGGAATGCCAATGTCATAAGAAAACTGGCAAACGAGAAAAAAACCGGAAGATTAAGTGAAAAGTGGGGACATACTGAATTGGACGTCAATGCTTTGTTTAAAATTTTATTGATAAAGGCTAATTTACATAAACAATTAATATACACATTTATACCCGTCACAAACTCTTCATTTAAATTGAATGATTAATTACTAAAAGTTACTTTAAAAGCGTAACAAGTAAGATTCTTTTTACGAACTTGACAGAAACTTTCTGTATATGCAGAATAAGAAAATTCTCCAGTAGCGCACATTACAGAAAATTTGCTTTTTAGTTCATTTTCGATTACATTTTTAATCTTCCGTCGAGATGTTGAAGCATCTTGAGTCATATTCTGAAAAAAAAAGTGACGAAATAAAGTAAGGCTGACAGCTTACTTGCATAAAACGGTCACACAAATAAGAAAACATACTTCTTCCATTAACTGCTTCAATTTCAAATTGTTGCAGACCGGATCTTCAGCAACATTTTTGCTCAAGGAAGGAAGTGAATCAGTTTTCGAAAGGTCACGTTTTTGCCGCGCTCCAGAAGTGCAGTGAATTGTACAAGAAGCACAACAGGTGTTTTCAGGTGGTGGTGGTGGGGGTGGT